TGTATGTATGTATGTATGTATGTATGTATGTATGTATGTATGGATGGATGGATGGATGGATGGATGGATGGATGGTTGTATGTATGGATGGATGGTCTGAGGTTATTAATAGCAGTTTCTGTTTGAATATTAACCCTTTGAGTCAAGTCTTCTGCTAACTTTCAGTCACATTTCCCTCCCAGTTGACAAAAGTCTGAACATGGAATATAAAGAACAGTGTAACAGAGTAATCTCTTTTAATTTCATAAACAGGTGTCTAGCAGTACTTATGCCACATAACGTAATTAAGAAATTATCAGTTAGCCTGGATATTGGTAATAATTGCTGCTGTAAATTGTTAAATTCCCAGATACATTTTTGCATAGTTTATTTACGAGGTTGTTGTTCACGTATACTGAGACTTTCATTGAAAAATGGTACATAATAGATAGACAAAGTACTTTTATCTAATCTTAGTTAACTAATCTATATTTCTGTTAAAAAATAATAATCTAGATTTCTGTGTTCAACTTCTTTCCTTGTGAAGCAATTTATATTTTCCTCATATTAGACAAACCTTATCAGTCTGAAGTACCTTCCTAACAAACTTTCTTTTGCTTGTACCGACTGCTCACTTTTCCAATTATCTTCTTTTCTGCTGCATGTTGTTAGATGTCAGAAATATTCTGAATAAATGTAAAATAAATATAAAGCCTTGTAGATATTCTCTCCCTCACACATTTTAACCATAAATAAAAGGGTATACTTTTTCCTCTGTATTTTTGCAGACTTTTCCTTCAGTTTGCTAGTATTCTGTGCTTTTGAGACACCCACTCCCTCCATCTTTTAAAGCTTCCATTGCTGTCATCTCTTTCATTGCAACACTAATGAGCATTGCTTCTCTGCCCTTGGCTTGCACATTTCTTGTCTCACAACTAAAGAATGAAGGGTGAAAAATTCTGTGTTTGGGTTCATGCAAATTATAACTGTCTGATGGAGGAAAAAGTGTCTTGTCTGATAAAAGTCCAAACTTAGAGCTGTACAGCTTTATAAAGATCAAAACACTTTTGTTATTTTAACAAGGAAAACATCTTTTAAGTTTTAATTACAGGACATTTTTGTATTTTAAGGGATGTTTGCAACAAATAATTTAGTGGATTATTTGGACTGCTAATATATTATATATATATAAATATATATAAATATATTAGCAGTCCAAATAAT